ATTTTGATTATGGTTGTACCATTTTAAAAGGCTTTGTGGCTATAGCTGCTAACTTGTGATTGGAAAGGAGAAGGGTTTGCATTTTTAGACCATCTGTGGGAGTTATGGTGTCTGAAGCTGACAAGAGATCATGGCAGATGGTGAGGTCACAGAGATTGACTCTTTGAGCTTGACATAATGTGTTCATGAAGGTGGAAGAAGAAATCCAATTTATTTATTTATTTTTAGCCAAGAGAAAACTTGGTGACAGGAAGGAGTGTACAATTGTTGAGGCTGGGTAAAACATAATGCATCAGTGCACAGGATAGGTTTATCTTTGAGAATCACCAGTACTGTCAAAGATGGCAATTTCTTGGAACATTCAGTGTCATGTTTATTCACTTTCTAGAAGCTTGATTTAAGTCATATATTTCAAATAATTTGTAGCTTAAAGACAATGTAAAAGAAAGAAGCTTTAAAAGTACTTAGAAGTATGTGTGTGTGTGTGTGCACGCGCGCGCACGTGCGCGTGTGTTAGAAATGTGTATTTTTAAATTATAGGTTCATAAACTCTCAGACAGTATAGCATACTTCATTTTTAATGGAACACATCTCTGTCACAATCCCATTTCATTTTGTAACATTTATCTTACTGTTAACTTAAATTACATTTGAAGGTTTACACTGTTTCTCTCATTCACTAGGATATCTCCAGTGCCTGCATTAGGATCTTATGTGTAGTGGGCATCCAGTGTTGGACAGATGAATAAATAAATTAATGAGTGAACTTACTACCTAATCTTGTTAATTTTAGCAGAGTTTTTCTTAACCACAATTAAAACCTTTTCTTCTGTTTTAAATTGCATTTGTGTTATGGTATTTTTCTCTTGCACTATGTGTGAATTCTGTATTTATTATTTATGAGTAAGAAACCTTAATTTGTCATGAGAAACAGCAGACTGATTTTTTCACTAACATTGGTTGAGTGCTAACATTGTGCTAGGTCGTATCTTAATGATTTTTCATGCCTTGCCTCATTTAATTAAATAGATAAATACTGTCACTGCTTTGCAGATGAAAAAATTGAGGCACAGAGACATTAAGGTAAATTTGCTCAAGAAACACGCACTTTCACTCTTTCAAATAGTTATCGTTTAAGTAACATTTAGAGGTTCTAATTTGTGCTGGTTCTGGAGAGAAGATACAAAGGAACTACTAAACAAAATTTTGTTTTGTCAAGCTCATTAATGTGGCTACATAGTATTTTTATTGGTAGCCTACAGCTATAGTGTGCAGAAATAGTAACACTGTTAATTTCTTTTATTTGCAAGAGTAGCATATGCTGCTCAATAACACAGTACTTAGGAAATATAGTACAAGATTGAATACTAAATACAGTAATGAAGTAGATCCATGGAGACAAGCTTCTGTTGCCATTACAACCATACTCTGGACATGGAAAAAGGGGAAGGGCAAAAAGAATAGCCAAGTCTGGTAGCTCTGCCCAACAATGTCTGCTTATATTTCATTGGCTGGAATTACATCATATGGTCAGCCTGTCTGAGAGGGAGACTGAGAATGTAGTAGTTTTAATTGGACACATTGTCACCTTCAACTTCTCCTAAGGAAGAAGAGGAAGTGATATTGGGCAGGCAACAGTATCTGCGTAAGATAGATACAGCAAGTTTCTAAAATATAACAGGCACTTTGGATGGAAAAGACCTTACTGTCTTTGTTATAAATACATTTCGGTCGTTCATAAGGTAATCTTGAAAATATTTAAAACTGAATTTTTTGTGGTCAGGAATGTTCAGTGTTTGTGTATGAACTGGAGGGCATTTGGCACATTGACTTGGTGGATTTGATGATTTTCACTTCAATTGTATCTAATTTACTCCTAACATAACCCTAAAAACTCAGCACTCCCCTTTTTCAGAGGACACTGAAGATCATGGAGGGGCAGTCACTTGGTCAGTCACACCAGCTAATACGTTTCAGACCTGAGACTGAGCCTAAGTTTTAAAAAAAAAAAAATTCCATCCACTTTCCACTCTGCTAACAATGCTGCTGTATTTATTATATGGGGCGCTCCAAGCAAGGCACATAGAACCAGTTGTCATTTTGTGGGGGGGGTTTTTCTATTTCATTAGTTCTTGTTCTTTCTTCTCCTTTTGAGTTCGCACTGATCTTTTTGAACTTTTCACTTGGTTGCTTAATGAATGAAAAGAAATATAAATTTACTTCCAAGTTACTATTTCAGCTGCACTTTCCAGGTTTTCTTATTTTCATTGTTGTTCAGTTCTAAATATTTCAGGTTTCCTTGTTTAATTCATGGGTTGTTTGAGCAATAATATATTTTTATTTTCTAAATATCTCACTTTCAGGTGTTTTTAAAAAATGGCTGATTCCTAATTTAATTGATTGTGGTTAGAGACTATAAACTGGATAATACTGCCTCTTTGAATTTCGTTACTTCATCATTTGTGACTTTGTATGTGGACAAATTTTGTAAATAGGATCTCAAGTATAGAGCTCTATGTAGGTCTATTATATCAAGCTTGGTTAAAATAGTAATCTTCAAAATGAAGTACTTATATTTTAGCCTTATATTCCTAGTTTTAATATGTCAAGTAATTTGGTGAATGGAATCTCAGGAACTCGTGCTTTATTATTTATTTCATATTTATAATACTGAAGAGGAAATATCAAATAATCGATGAATGAATAGGAAAAACAGTTCCACTGTAGGGACTTGGTTTTCCTATTAGGTCATGACAGATGTAAACAAATCTGCCACGACAGTCGCAAAGCGAAACTCAGCTTTATCCTCAAATGTGTTATTAACATTTTAGTTTTGAGATAATTTTAAAGTAAGAGAAAAGTAAAAACAGGACAATGAACTCCTGAGTACCCTTTTCCCAGATTTACCAGTTTTTAACATTTTACCACATATGCTTTATCATTCCCATTGTGTGTGTATGTAAATTATACATACTCTTTTTCATCATTTGTAAGTAAGTTGCTGCTGTCATATACCCTTTCACTCCTAAATATTTTGGTGTATTTTTCTAAGAGCAGGACACGCACTGAAAAAAAAACACCCATAATACAGCCCTGACTGGTGTGGCTCAGTGGATTGAGCGCCAGCCTGCAAACCTGAAGGTGGCTGGGTCGATCCCCCCTGCGGGCTCATGCCTGGGTTGTGGGCCGGGTCCCAGGTTGGGTGCCAGTGAGATGCAACCAACCAAATGATGTTCCTGTCACACATCGATGTTTGTCTCCCTCTCTTTCTCTCTCCCTCCCCCTTGCTCTAAAAACAAATAAGTAAATCTAAAAACATAAAATAAAAAAAATTAAAAACCCATAATACTGTTGCTGAACTCAAGGGGTTGCCACTTGAGGTGTTCTGTTGAAGCATGAGACATGGTTGTCTCAAGGTTTTATTCACTTGCAGCAAGAAGAGAAGGGATTCACCTCCAAAGCTCTGTCTCCTCAAAGAGAGACTTAGCCATTGCTTATATGCATCGATTTCTTCTTTGCTGTTGGCTACTTTATCCAATTGAGTTCCTGGCAGTGTCGTCCTGTTTACAGCTGCATCTGCAGAATACTTTGGTACATCTTAACATTTAGACATTTAGCAAGAATAACTTTTAATCAGAACAGCCCAGACCTTGAGATCTTTGTCCTATCTAACTGCGATTAAAAGCTGGAAATAAAACATTAAAACAGTACTATTATACAGTCTGTGGACCATATTTCAATTTCTCCAATTGTCCCAATAATGTTCTTTCTAGCAGTTACTTTTCTGGTCTAGAGGCCAGTCCAGGATCATGGGTTGAATTTAAATTTCATGTGACTTTAGTCTCTTAAAATTTGGAATGTTTTTCAGGCTTGTTTTGTCTCTAATGACACCAACATTTTAGAAAAATTCCGAATTATTTTACAGAGTGTTCCTCAATTCTCTGATTTCTTAATAATTAGATTTAGATTGTGCATTTTGGGCAGAAACCCTCAGAAGTGATACTCCGTCTATCTCAGTGCACTTGAGGAGGTGCAGGTGTCGGTCTGTCTCTTTGCTGGTGATCACTGGGGAGCTCTGACCGCTGTGGTTAAAACGGTGTGTGTCGGGTGTCTTCACTGTAAAATGTGAATTCATATGGATTTTGTGGGGAGAGATTTCAAGGGTATATAATTTTTCTCACCAATTCTCATCCACTAGTTTTAGGATCTACCCATGATTCTGGCTTAATCCTTTGTAAAAAACCACAAATTGGGGGTTCTCTACATCATTCCTTTATACAGGGAGGGACAAAAAGAGGTTTGCAGTTTTGAGTACCCAAAACACAGTTTCTTCTTGTATTATTTATTCATTATTATATTTCCCATAGAAACAACTGTAAACCTCCTTTTGCCCCACCCTGTATTTGTTAATTGGCATTATATTGCAAGAAGAGCTTTCCCCTCTTCCTCATTATTTGTTCATATCAGTATGGTCTCCAGGAATATTATTTTATTCAAGGGTTATGGTCTGTTACATCTGTTACTGTCAATATGTATGTTGGTGTTTATTGTCCAGTTGTAGGCCCTTTAAGCTGCTTCCTGCATACTTTTGATATGACTCCATCATTTTTTGAGCCCACCCTTCCTTTAGGTACAATTAAATGTTCTACGTTTATCTTGTACATTTCCTCCCCCAGCCCTGGGATTGGCTGCTTATCCAAGAAGCCCTGATGTCTCTTTCAATGGGTTATCTAAGACAGCCTAATGCAGTATTTCAAAGCCCAGGCTCTATCTCTTGTTAGCTGAGTTAGCTCAGTTGATTTAGTCAAAATATTTACCTCTGTAAACCCCAATTTTTATCTGGAAAATGAGGGTTAAAATGGTACATGTCTTACAGTTTCATTGTGAAGACTAATTTAGATAATTCACTTAAAGAACAATGTATGTCACAAAGTATATATGACATAAATGTTGCCTATATTTATTATTACATTACTATTCCTTTTCTCCTTTTTTAACAGGATATTTTTAAAGAATTATTGAAGACAAAATCTTTTCTTTTTTTTAATGGCTTTACAGAATTTTAAATCGAATACAATTTGACATGACGGCAAAAAATGTAAGTATTTGTAAATTTTTTAATGTGTTTTTAAAGTGAGTTGTGCTTTTTCCTTAGGTCTTTTTTTCACCACTCAGAGCAATCAAATTCAATTTACTGGTATTAATTCATAATTGTTTTTGTTTATGCAAAGAATGAGATAGTAAACTTGAATCCTGCTGAATGCAGTACGCTAACAGGCATGGCAGCGTTCTTATAAATTGCTGCTAAGTAGCTCCTTCTCAACAGCTGCGCAATTGCTAGCTCTAGAAAGTTTCCCACCCTGCTCCTTTGTTGGGTACTGTAATAAATTTGTTTTAGCACTTGCTGGAAAGTTTCTTGTCCTTATTGTTTTCTTTGGTTCAATTTCTTTTTTTGTTTTTACTGAGGGAAATGTGTATACTCAGATGTTATTTAGAAGAAACTTGCTATCCTCCATAACATGATTCCTGATGTTACATTGGACCTTAGGTGTTTTGGAGAAGTTACACATTTGTTATTGCTGTTCAAAACTGTCATTTCCGGATCTACATTCTTTGAAGTCACATTTTTATTGTCACTCTGTATCAATGGATTTGTTTCCAGTTAATGGTGAAGGATTATGCCAGGAAATAAATACTAAAGCATGCAGGGATTATTATGTTGGACTCTTTGATTGTAGGTCATGGAAACTAGCTTAGAGTGCCTTAAACAGAGAGGGAATTTATTATAAAAATACAAGGATGTCTCAAGGAATTCAAGGGTCGGAATTTACTGGGCTCGCAGGAAGACCTGGGGCCAGGAACGTGAACTCCAACAGGAACTGAGGCAGTGTATCGTTTCCATTTGTCGTCTCTGCTTTTCTCTGTGCACCTGCCTCATCACCCTGTCTCTCTGCAAGTCCTTCTCAGTTCTCCAGTCAACATCTCAGTGCACATGTTTCAGAGCAGCCTGTTCAGAGAGAGGGGAGTGTGGAGGGAGGGACAGAGGCAACCTGACAGATTCTGCCGGCCTACATCAGCTCCAGTTTCAGACTCCTTGAGGAGGACTTGGCAGTGCTCAAGTCTGATGTCCACGAGTGGTCTGGTTAGTTGTCATCAGGAGAAGCGGCATTATAGTGAGTAAAGAGTTCTCTTTATGAGCCAGACAACTGGTTATAAATACTACCATTATTCGTCTAAAGAATGGCATTAAGAAATAAACCTTTATTGCTTATCTCTGTTTTGCAATTATTAATCTTGCTTTTAGCATGCATTAGTGGCTATAAGCAAATATCATTAAAATTTAGTTAATTTTGTTAGGATAAATTACCTGGAGTAGTTTACTTTAATCTAAGACTCTTGTATACATTTATTAAAGTGTCATTTAGGGGGAAAAAAAGAAGCAAAATTTTAGTCTTTGTATTGGGAATTTTCTTATAGGATATTAGCTTGATTTTCTCTCCTTTAGAAAGAAAGAGGATGTGAAAGTTATCCTGAGCAACAAGATGGTAATATTTAAATAGCAAAAGTATATTTTGGCTTCAAATGTACCTTGAATCAAATACAATCTTCCTAGCCATATGTACAGCTTGCTGTATTAAAAGTTGTTTCCTGAAAGTAACATAAAGCATTTGAAATTACCAGTGGTAATTATACCACCATTATTTTTGTGTATATATTTGGAAGAAATCAAACAATGAGCAACATGTTTCTACTTCTATTATGGCAACCTGGGGGGAGAGGAGTAAGTGATGGGTTGCCCCTCTTTTGAAGTGGAGAGATCGAGCCTCGGACTGGGCTGAAGCATGTAGGAGACAATTGAAATTGTCTGAAAATATCCAGTCAAGTTTACTAGCCATTCTGCAGTAGTTATTTTTTTTGTGGCTTTTAATATATTTTATTGAGGTACTTACTAAAAGGATTATATGAGTTTACAATGCCACGAGCAATTCATTCTCCTCTCTCCCATCCCTACCTTTTTTCAACAGTATGTATGGGTAACACTATTTCCAGCCACCTGCCTTCCTGGGTCTTACAGTATAATGATAAAAGACAAGAAATAGACTTCCAGCCCAGATGGTGGCACAGGTAAACATGGCCCGCCTCTTCATACAACCACATCAAAATTACAACTAAATTATAGAACAACCATCACTCAGAACCATAGAAACCGAGTTGAATGGAAGTCTGGCCGCTACAGACTTAAAGAAATGACATCCATCCAGACTGGTAGGAGAGGCAGAGATGCAGAACGAGCTGGGCCCACACCCATGTGTGGTAGATAAAAGTTTAGGAGGGATGTCTCGGGAACGGGGAGTCCCAGCCCCACACCAGACCCCTCAGCACAAGGTTCCAGTAACAGGAAGATAAGTCCCCATAATTTCTGGCTGCAAAAACCAACGGGGATCAAGTCAGTGGAACAAAATGCTGGAGTCCCAAACAGTTCCTTTTAACACACACATGAACTTACTCATACTCCCTCTGACTCCAGCACCAGGGTAGCAGCTTGAAGGGCACCAGTGGCGTACAGGGAGGAACTGAAGTGTCTGGCATCAAGGTGGGAGCTGGGGGTCAGCTTTCTCCCAGAGAGAGGCAGGCAGGTGCTGTATCTGAGACTATCAACCTGGCTAACACCGTTAGCCCTGCCCTGGAGATCCGCTGAGGCTCCCTCCCACGTAATTTATGGCTGTTAACAGAGGTTTTTCCATATGAATGGCTGGGGCTGGCTCGTGCTTCACAGCTTCCTAAATCCCTTCAAACAAAGAACAGCTGACCTCAGGGAGCCGGCAACCCCCATACCTCTTGCAAAGTGGCCCCAGGCCCCACACTAGCAGCAGCCAGCCTACATTCACAGGTTGGTTTTGCCTGGGAATCTCTAAGCCCAGCACAACTAGTAGCCATCTCAGATTGCTCTATAGCTCAGGCAGAGTAGCCCCAGGAAAAACACAGGTTGGGGCTGACCTTGGCCTGCACCACCCAGGAAACCCCAGGGCCTACACACCCAGAGGAGAGCTACAGACCCGGTCGGAGTACCACCGCCCTGCTCCCGCACAGCTGATCCTCCATGGAGGGTGGAGGTTGGTGGTCAGTGGTCACAGCCAGTCCTTGCAGCTGACTGGCCTGGGTAAATCCCTCCCATTGATCTGCCAACAGCAACCAAGACTCAACTACAAGACGAGGCTGTTCTCAGCTCACATGGAGAGCACACCTCAAGTACCCAGCTTAGGTGATGGGGCGGTTGTGTCACTGGACTCTACAGGACACCTACTACATTAGGCCACACTACCAAAACTGGAAGGCACGGAAGCTCTACCTAATACATAGAAACAAACACAGGGAGGCAGCCAAAATAAGGAGACAAAGAAACATGGCCCAGATGAAAGAACAAAGCAAAACTCCAGAAAAAGAATTAGACAAAATGGAGATAAGGAATCTATCAGATGCAGTGTTCAAAACACTGGCTCTAAGGATGCTCAGGGAACTTAGTGAGGACCTCAGCAGCATAAAGATCTAGTCAGAAATGAAGGATACACTAATTGGAATAAAGAACAATTTACAGGGAAACAACAGTAGAGTGGATGAAGCCCACAATCAAATCAATGATTTGGAACATGAGGAAGCAAAAAAAAAAAAAAAAAAAAAAAAAAAAAATCCAATCAGAACATAAAGAAAAAGGAACCCAAAATAACAAGGATAGTATAGGCAGCCTCTGGGACAACTTCAAGCATTCTGACATTTGCATCATAGGAGTGCCAGAAGGAGAAGAGAAAGAGCAAGAAATTGGACATCTATTTGAAAAAATAATGAAAGAACACTTCCCTAATTTGGTGAAGGTAATAGGCATGCAAGTCAGGAAGCACAGAGAGTCCCAAACAGGATGGATGCAAAGAAGCCCACTTCAAGACACATCATAATTAAAAGGTCAAAGGATAAAGAGAAAGAGAGAATCTTAAAAGCAGCAAGAGAAAAGCAGTTCTCTTACCTATAGGGGAGTTCCCATAAGACTGTCAGCTGATTTCTCAAAAGGAGTTTTGCAGACTAGAAGAGATTGGCAAGAAATATTCAAAGTGATGCAAAGCAGGGACCTACAGCCAACATTGCTCTACCCAGCACAAATATTTATTTATTTATTTATTTATTTATTTATTTCTAAATAAGTCTGTGTATTTATTGGCTACTTGAGAGGGATGAAGCGGGAGGAGTGCGTGGCCCTGATGCTGGGCCTGTCGTCCTTCACCAGCTTGTAGGTGATGGAGAACTCACCCAGGTAGTGGCCAGTCATCTCAGGCTTGATTCCCACCTGGTTGAAGGTCTGGCCCTTGTACACGCCTGCCGTGCTGCGCACCATCTCTGGCAGGATGATCATGTCCCACAGGTGCATCTTCAGCACTTCAGGCTTCTCCGTGGGCGGCGCCTTCTTCTCGGCCTTGTGCAGGCGCTTTAGCACTGAGAGCTGCTTCTACCACAGGCCACGGTTCATCCGCCGCCGCTGCCTGGCACTGTAGAGCTGCATCTGTTGCTCATAGGACATGTCAAGCAGCTGGTGGAGATCCATGCCACACTAGGTGAACTTGAGGAAGGTCCGCTAAAGATATCATGTATAATCAAAGGCCAGACAAAGAGCTTCTCAGACAAGAAAAAAACTAAAGGAGTTCATCATCACCAATCCATTATTATATAAAATGTTAAAGGGACTTATTTAAAGATCAAAACTAGGAACAATAAAATGGCAATAAATACATATCTATCAACAATTGAATCTGAAAAAACAAACTAAGTAAACAAGAAGAACAGAGACAGAATCATGGATATGGAGAGTGTTTTGATGGTTGCCAGGAGGGAGGGGGGTGTGGGAGGAATGGGTGAAGAGGTTTGAAGCGGATTGAGAAGTACAATTAGGTAGTTACAGAATCGCCATGGGCATGTAAAGTACGGTACAGGAAAGGGGGCAGCCAAAGAACTTGGACATATGACCCATGGACATGAACATAGTGTGGGGTTTGCCTGAGGGAGTGGGGGTGTTCTGTTGAGGGGGGCAAAGTGGGAAGAATTGGGGCAAAT